CTGAGGCAGGAGAATCGCTTGAACGGGAGGTGGAGGTTGAAGTGAGCCGAGATCGCGCCACTGCATCCAGCCTGGGCAACAAAGGGAGACTCCATCTAAAAAAAAAAAAAAAAAAATTAGGAACGATTTATTCATTTATTCACATACAGCAGTTGAATACTCTGGAGCCAGACTACCTGGGTTTGAATTACAGATCCCAGGTGACTGCACTTAGAGCAAAGTTTGGAGCCTCTGCTGTAGAGGACTTCAAAGATCGAACGAGCAGGCAGCTAGGACAGTGCCAGCACCCTGGTTCCTGACCCTGCCTGCATATTGGAATCACGTGGGCACCTTCAGAAACCACTGATGCCTCGGCTCACCCCCAGAGATTGTGGTGTAATTGAACTGGGTGTGGCCTGGGCTTCAGAATTTATAAAAGATTCTCCAGGTAATTTAAGTTTGGGAACTACTGACCTAGCACGTAGCGTTGATTAGGTAATCATAGCTATTGTTGCCAGGTGCCATTCTAATAACTGCTTTACAGGTATTTACTCATTTACTTACTCATCTGTTCCTGTGCGAAGGAGGCACATGTCCTCAAGACCTCCCAAGGCTGTGTCACAGGCGTGCATCGTTTAAAAAAGGAAGAAAAAAAGCCCATATGAAATTTTGTCATTTTACAGACAAGGAAACAGGCATAGAGCGGTTAAGGGACTTGTCCAAGGCCACAAAGCTAGTGTGTGGTGTGAGTTCTGGCCCAGGCTGTCTGATTTCAGTCCTTGCCCTTACCCCCGGCCTGTGTTGCACTGAGCACTTGTTGAGTGCTGGTCCCTGAGCAAATGAATTCTGCATGAATAACGCATTCTTTCAAGCTCTGAAACTTTAGGGGAGGGGAGTGGGGCTCAGAGATGAGGAAATGGAGGCTTGCAGCTGGCAAGTGGCAGGGCCCACCACTCTAACCACCTGTTCCCTGTTGCCGCAGAACCTGAAGGCAGCTAACACGGACCCCACAGCCCCGCCCTACGACTCCCTTTTGGTGTTCGACTATGAGGGCAGCGGCTCCGACGCCGCGTCCCTGAGCTCCCTCACCTCCTCCGCCTCTGACCAGGACCAAGATTACAACTATCTGAACGAGTGGGGCAGCCGCTTCAAGAAGCTGGCAGACATGTACGGTGGCGGGGACGACGACTAGGCCGCCTGCCTGCAGGGCTGGGGACCAAATGTCAGGCCACAGAGCATCTCCAAGGGGTCTCAGTCCCCACTTCAGCCGAGGACTTTGGAGCTTGTCAGGAAGCGGCCATAGCAACTTGGAGGAGACAGGCTGAGTCTGGCCTTAGAGTGGTTCGTTCCTTAGCCTTTGAGGGTGGAGGAATGTGGGCAGTTTGACTTCAGCACTGAAAACCTCTCCACCTGGTCCAGGGTTGCACAGAGGCCAGGTTTCCAGAAGCCTCTCACCTGCCGTAAAATGCTCAGCCTGTGTCCTGGGCCTGGGCCTGCTGTGACCGACCCCTGATGGCTTTGTCTCTGGAATGGACCCTTCTGAGGCCTCCTGGTGCAACTTTTTTTTTTTTTTTAATGCTATTTTCAGAATGTTAGAGACAGTTCTTCAAAAGTGCAGCACAGAGCCGCCGGGCCCACTGGCCATCCTGCATTTCTGGTTTCCAGACCCTAAGGCCTCCCATTCAGATGGATCTCTGCGTTTTTATACTGAGTATGTCTAGATTGCCCCTTATTTTTTATTTTCCCTGTTGCGTTGCTGTAGATGAAGGGTGAGGACAATCGTGTAGATGTACTAGAATTTTTTATTAAAGAAACTTTTCCCAGAGGTGCCGGGGGAGTGAACTGTTTTTTCAGTAGAAGCTTTATTGGCATCTAACTCACATACCATACCATTCACTTGTTTAACGTGTACAATTCAATGGTTTTTAGAATTTTCAGAGTTCTGCAAAAAGAGTGTGCTCTTCGCCGGCTTCCTCCCGGCTTCCTCTCGATGGCAGCAGATACTCACGGTCAGCTTCCATGCCTAGGTGGGCTCAGGGAGGGGAGACTTGCCCTCCTTTGCAAAGTCTGTTGCTCCGTGAGAGAGAACCATTAACCTCTTACCCCAAGGCTGAGCCCCTCCAGAGCCCCAGCAAGGTATCTTCTGGAACAGCGGCTACCCTCCCTGCAGGGCAGTGCGTGACGACTTCCTCTTCTATGCTGGGGGCGGGGGTCCCTGTTGAAAGGCAGGGGTTGGAGAACAGCGAGCTCTGCTACGTGCTAGCACATCATTTAACCTCTAGTTGCCTCAGATTTTACATTTACAAAATGGGGAGTTTTTGTGGAGATTAAATGAATTAATACCTGGCACATGGTGCATGCAATTTGTTAGTTGGTAACAGCTACCATTTATTCAATATTTTTGAAGGCCAGACAGGACTTTATTTACTCTAAATCCTCATAATCACCCTCTGAGGGGACTTTCTCCTTTAAAGAATGGCCACATTGTATTTTTTTTAAATGACATCTGGTTATCAAAATCAAGCAAAACAAAGTTAGAGAACCTACCCAAGATCTCAGCAAAATTGGAATATTCCTGACAATACCAGGGCATAAATGCAGGAATCGGGAATAGGCAGCAGCGATAGAACGATTCTGTTTGTGTCCTTGTTAACATGAAGTTGAAAGTCATCTTTGCAGTTAGCAAAAAAAGTCTGAAGCGAAGCCGAGGAAATTGCTGATGTTGAAATAAACATCTTCCATGAGGATGACTAAATCTGCAAAGCGCCTCTGCTCAAAGCACAGACCCTGACCCGAAGGTATCGGTGCCACCTGCTGAGTCGGAACCTCTAGGCAGGGCCCTGCTGTGGGTTGACAAGCCCCCCATGGGATGCTCATGCACACTCAGGTTTGCTGCCAAGGCTCTGAAGGATAAGGCTAAGAAGCCTGAAGCCTCAGACCCTGGATGGGGAAACCAAAGGAAATGAAGTTGGGGCTGGGCATCATGGATCACACCTGTAATCCCAACACTTTAGGAGGCTGAGGTGGGTGGATCACGAGGTCAGGGGTTCGAGACCAGTCTGGCCAACACGGTGAAACCCTGTCCTTGATAAAAATATAAAAATTAGCTGGGTGTGGTGGCATGTGCCTGTAATCCCAGCTACTCGGGAGACTGAGGCACAACAGTTGCTTGAATCCGGGAGGTGGTGGTTGCAGTGAGCCAAGATCACACCATTGCACTCCAGCCTGGGCGACAGACTGAGACCCTATCTTAAAAGGGGATGAAGTCGGATGAGAAAGCTCACCTGTCCTTGGTCCACGGCGTCCTCAGGACAAAGCCACCTCCTGCCTCTCCCACTGAGCTGGGGCCTCAGATTCCCCTCTGCCAGGGCTGTCTGCTGATGGGGTGTGGGAAGATTGAGTGTCTGCTAGCAAACACCTGCTGCC